CGGGCCCATCAGCAGTGGACCAAGTCGACTGCACGGACGCACACCAACCCAGAGAGGGACACCAACCCGTGCCATTCCTCCTCCACACGCATCCTCTCCGTCGACGCCTCACAAAGGCAGCACAGGAGGGACAGAACCCCTGACCGGCCTCTCCCAGTCTCAAGGTGGGGAAAGCCTGGGCAACTGTGACCAACTGGTTGAGGGTGAGGGAGCATGAGAATGAGACGCAGCAGACAAACCCGCCTGAGAACAAAACTAGCAGCAGACAAACCCGCCTGAGAACAAAACTAGCTATGGCCACCGTGCTCTTTGGAAGCGAGGATGGCGAGACTTCTCCGCCTCACACACTCTGGACGTGCTGCCAGGAGAGACCAGGCCCTGGAGAAGCCCGTCAGGCTTGGTAAAGTGGAGTGACAGGGAAAAAGAGGAAGATCTCTGTCAAGATGGATGGGCACCGTGCCAGCACCAGTGGGCTCTCAAGACCCTTGTGAGGACGGCATGGGATCGGGCGGTGTTTCACTCTGCTGTGTGCAGGGCCGCCATGAGTCAGAACCGACCGGATAGCACCTCAGGGCAATAGCAGATTCCATGTGGTGTGGGAAACTAGCCAGGAGGGCAACACGACAGGACTCTACTCCCTACCTTATAACAGCGGGAATCGGGAAAGCTAGTATTCCACGGTAGGAAAACTAAAGTCCAAGGACATTGTGCTGCTTTCAATGCCGGTCTCCCCTTACACTAGGATGCCTTAAAGTGAGCACACGGTTGATTCTCTCTCCCTCTCTTCCCACTGTGTCACCCAGCCCCCCTCAGACCATCCCCCCAATGCAGGTATTAGGGTTCCCCGCCTGTGAGCTCAGGGACTTTCATGTAGATAGCACCCACCTTGTGAGGCATGTAACTACTGACTATGCATGTCTTATGGCGACCTGTAACCATCCCAAGACAGTAAAGGTTCCCTTTCTCTTCTCCGGTCCATGTGGTCCCTCCCTCAGGAGGAGCTGAGGTGAGCATGCCACCACAAAATGTGTCTGACTCCTTTATTCTGTTCTCTCTCCTATCTCTCTCATCCTCTATGACTTTACTATCATCTTCATATTTGATCGCCGTACAACTGTGCCCTTTGGTTGCTGGAGGGCTGGTTTCCTCTGACAGTGTGGGATCCTGGACCAGATTTGGGGACAGGAAAGGAACTTGAGTGAGACCATGGTGGGGGGCGGCGGGAGGCGTCTGGAAACAGTTTTCTGAGTTGCAACATCTGCTACAGGGGGGTCAGATGTTCACCTTAGCAGAGGCTGGGTGAAGGGCATGGAGGAAGCCTCTGTATGATTTGGCAACTTGTCTATCCAGCTAAAATAACTTCCAAACAAAAGCAAACATCACCTACGGAAATATCCTCTCTGATCAAACGTGCCCAGCCATCCTAGGCTGCCTGGGGGGACATCTCCGGGGACAGCGGGGCCCACTCCCTACTGGGGCCACATGTCTAAATTGGGGGTTTCTACTGGGTCAGTCAGTTTGATGGACTCTGACAGGCCCCTGGGCTTGGACTGGGAGACCCAGGTTTGGGCTCCAGTGGTTACACTGTTTACCCGAGGGTGGTAGTTAGGGATTCTGTCAAGTACACACTCCGGGCTGGTGGCTAGCGGGGGGAGTCAAACTTGTCCATCAAGTTAGCAC